CCCCCCCCCCCCCCCCGGCAGACCTCAGGAAGTTCCGGAGATACCAGGGCAGCTCCGTCCGTGACCTGCTGCGCGCCATGAGGAACAAGGTACTGTGCCAACCCTGGCTGGGCTCTTTGGGGGATGCCAGGCCCTCTGCGGCTGAGGGGCCCCTGACTGGCACATTCCCTCCTGTCCCCCTTCTGTCTCTGAGTCCCTGGGGGGCCCTGGCATCCGGACTCTTTCTCCTTCAGAAGCATCACTACTACGAACTACCCAGCAACGTCCAGCAGGCCCTGGGCAGCCTCCCCCACGGATTCGTCCAGTACTTCCTGGACCGTTTTCCCTGCCTGCTGCTGCACACTCACCGGGCCATGCGCCTGTGCGCGGCCGAGCGGCTCTTCCAGCGATACTACTGCCAGGGGGAGTGAGCACCTTGCCACAAGAAAGGACGCTCGCCAGCCCCCGCCTTCCGACACCTGTCAGCCCGCCTGCCCTGCTCTGGAGGGACCAACCAGCACACGGCATCCACGCCCCGCCTGCTCCCTGGGGAGAGGTGTTCGTGCGGGGGGGGGGGCAAAGCTAATTCCTGGGGCTTCCGGGAGGCCTCAGGCAGAGGAGAGCAGAGGGGGAGCTGGGGAGGGGTAGGGGGGGGCTTCCCCTGAGGATCTGCTGCCTTCCCTTCAATTCTCTCCCGAAGAGAGTGGGGGGTGCATCAACTGGCCCCGTGGGCTGCACTGCCGATGCACTGTGGCGCCTTGCGTAACCAGCAACCTTTTGTTGAGCCGGCTGTGGACATTGTAGGGAAGGGAGTCTCCTCTAAAGGCAGCCAGAGGAGGTCAGGCTGGGCTCTGCCACCCCCCCTCCTTCATCCCCTGCCCCGTGGCATTTTATTCCCAGGCTCATCATGAGTGTGGAAGCATCTCCCGTTGCCTTGGAAACCTTCTGGAGTGGGAGGGGCTTAGTAGCAGAAAGCTGTAAATCGACTGCTTAAAAAAAAAAGTCTTCTGTATAAAGCGGCATCTAGAAAGGAAGGAAGGAAGCAGGACGCCAGGTGTGCTGGATGGGGGGCATCAGGAAGGGGGGCATTTTCTGCAGCCAGGAAGGATCCGGGCTGTTCAGCAGCGGGAGGGAGGGAGGGACGGCCGGGCAGGGGCTCCCCGTCAGCCAAAGGTGTGGTCAGCCTTTATTACTTGGAACCTGACAGTTGCGCTGAGAAGGAAATTTGGGGGAATCAGATGTGAGGTGACATGTCATAACTGCCTTTCAATTCACTGCACTTACACAGAAGTCCAAGCATGGCCTTACTTTAGCCACCATGTGATGTACTAGACAGAATTAGACCAAACTTGAACGTGAACAGCAGTATCAGACTGTTATTTTTTTAATCAGATAATTTTAATGGATTGTGGAGACAGCTTGATGTTGTTGTCCCCAAAACTGGCTCTTGCTTGGTGTTGAAGTCAATAAATCACGGGACACAATGTGTGATACAATATACTTTTATTTTGGTACCAAGATAGAAGACCCTGAGGGTCAAAAGCCAACCAAGGGCCCCAATTAGAATCTTACAGCCATTTTTATAGTCAAGGGCTGGTCACATTCAGCCCTCTGCCCTTCCCCTAATGATCTGCATGCATAACAGATCGTATTGCTTGGTTATTTGGATCTCAGCCCCCTACATAGCTAAATAGCCTGTCATCTGTTTTTCACCCCAGGTCATGGCAAAGTGTCCTAGTTTCATGTGCCAGCCATGCGGTTTTGGGGGTTTCTTATAAGCAAGCTATTCTCGTCCCTAATATCCCGGCTAGTGGTTTAAGGCAGTGGTCCCCAACCTTTTTTGTACCAGGGACCAGTTTCAAGCACAAACACTTTTTCAAGGACCGGGGGGGGGGGGGGGGGGGGGGGGGGG